AATGAATGTCCTTCTGCCCACCTATAATTACTACTGTGTCCTGTTGGGTAAAAGATCTAGTCTGAGTGTTGAAGTTCTCAATTACATGTGCCATTGTGGCATTAGGCTTAAAAGTACCTGTAATTGAGAACTTTGACGGGAGTTTCTCTCTCACAATGGAGGAAAGGTCCCTACCATGGCTGTCAGCTAGAATCAAAATTTTATGTGAGTGAGAGAGAGTGCCATTTGTTGTTTTAGTCTTGCCCGCTGAACTGTGTTTCTGTTGAGATTTTGAGGGCAGACTTTTAGTAAACGTGTGCCTATTGTTTACTGGTTGTCCTTGTCACGCTTGATTAAGAATTCTTCAAATGGTAGTTGAAGTGTAAGATAAAAATTGTCTTATAATATTACATAGCTATTAATAATATCACGTTGTGCTCTTGTAGTACCATTAGTTTTTTAAATTAATCATATTTCTACCGTAGTTCTGCCTGTAATTCTTAAAATTGCCTGATGTCTATATTTAACACCAGAAAACATAAAATACGAAATAAAACTTCCTCAGATTATCAAAATTACACGAGTGTAATTTCTAAAATTTATAATATGAATAATTTATGTCAATGTATCACAAAGACTGTTTTTCAGTAATTGTTGCAACTTAATTGAATGATTTCTGAAAATGTAAACATTGTTGATTTTGACTTAACACAAGTCATATACCTGAAGGAGTTTCTTAATACATACATTTCCAGGAATTGAATAATTTTGTTAAAAAACGCAGGATACAAATTAAAAATTTGCATGCGAGAAAGAAGTTCTTTGGTTCAATTTTAGTCCACACATTTTACCGTCGTAGGCACCTGTCCATCTTTTAACCGTCGTGCCTCCAGCACCTACGCGTAAATCCGCTTCTGACTATTCATGTTTCTATAAAACACTTGTTTTTTGAAAATATCGTCATCAATGTCGGAACCCTACCCTCGACACATTGCTGAGGATCGCCGCTGTACCATGGAATATGGTGCAGCAGGCGCCAGAATATTTATACAGCGAAATATGTTCAGTACATAAAAGACGAATTCCAACTTCGTTCCGCCTTACTCAGGTACAGGCCTTTGAACACTTTCAACGAATTTTTGAATGATTCTGTGCATGACAAAAAATTAATTTCAATGCACGGCTCTTATATTTAGTGCTCTCAAAATTCATTTATCCATCACAATACGAAGCTTCACACTACTATTGTTTGCCATTAGAGCTCCACACGACTGTCAGTCAACTATTGTGCTGAATGGCGCTTGCCCACTAACATTTCACTACCCAATTGTTCTTGAATTCACTGATATTTTTATTAGCGGCGAAAATGTTCAGATCCCTTACACTCTTTAAAACATTAGAAAACATGTCAATTGCTAGCGTATCATTTGCTTCTTGTTCTAAATCAGATTTCAGCTCATTTTCTTGCTCGGTGTCACGCTGGGTATCTAGCAGAACTAGCTGCGAGTACAGTATTATAGCTGTTGATGTACTGTGTAGCACAGGGGTGGATCCAGCATAGGGGGAGGGTATTTGTATTGAATAATAAATGAATTTGTTATTACATTGCATATTATTTATATACTTTAGATATGATACTATATAATGTTGAAATAATTGTAAGCGTCATCATTGCCAACAATATTATTTATTAAAAAACCAGCTTTCGATGGTTCTCTGATTTTGTGCTGTATGGAAGCCACAAAAACGTAGTTGTACTTTTAAGGTTTTTCAGAGGAAAGGATCATACATTTCAAACTTGGCGCTCTGGAGATTTTACTTAAAAAGCCGCGCGAATTTCTTCCCTGTTGACCAAATAGGTCCTTGAACAAAGGTCCTTGACATAGATTGTCAACGGTTTCCTGTTAGTCCGGAGTGTCACCGAAAGATGATGATGATGATGATGATGATGATGATGATGA